CACACAATAATCAAGAGGGATGCAATCTGGGGAGTTAAGTAGTCAGATGTAAGGGCTGATGTGGTTGCAGAAACTGTCTGACAGCCATGACTGGGTTCTCCTGCTTATTTGGTATAGTGCAGTACCTGTTTCCAGATATAGGGTCTCCCAGCAGCCACTCCCATGTCCCAGGGCAGTACTACCTCCTCAAGGCACTAGAAGTAGGTCCCCATTTTGAACCTGAGGTCCTGTGGGATGATGAATAGAGGCACAACGTCGCCACCACCAGTGATCACTCCAAATACCTTCGTAATCATCAACAGACTCATCTAACTCTTTCCAAATTTTCTTCACTGTCCTCAGATTGACACCCAAACAGGCTGAAATGTTCGTATTGGCGCTTCCGACGCGAATGTCAAGCAGTGCAGCATGCCGTTTCCAATTTTCTGGCGCAGAGTACGGCGTAATGATGCTCTTTTTCTCACAGCCCAACTGACCCTACTATACAGAAGAGTCGACAAAATTAAAAACCTGTATATATGAATTTATATACACAGAAGCAAGCACCTTAATAATCCCCATATTATTAGGAATAAACAGCGCGCTTCACAAATTAAGAAAACCAAAGAAAAAAAAAAAACGGTTAGTATATATATATATATATATATATATATATATATATATATATATATATAACAAACAAAAACTAACACTTTCCGGTTTTTGGTTGTCGGATCTAATAAGATAATTTATTTTTATTCTTACCCTAAAATCCTAATGCATTTTCCTTACACGCAGATTTATTTCTTCTCCCCACCCTCAGCTACGGGTAAATAGCAATATACTCTTAGGTGCCAACCGGCCTAGGAGAAGGACAACTCTGAATTCAAAACCTGATGATGCTCGTTTGGGGTCCTTGTAAGGACGCTAAGTGCAGCAGTTCACTGTATTTTATTCTTTCAAAAAGTGTGGTCGGTTCTATACACACCTTCACCACTATAACCAAAACATATGTGTGAATAGTACTGGCTGTTCGGTTCTAAAAAACTAACTTGCATCACCCTCATACGACGGAAACGACAGGAGAGTTGAGTATATATATATATATATATATATATATATATATATATATATATATATATATATATATATATATAAAAGAACTTTTAAAGAGGTAGCTATGAAGAGATTAGAGTATCGTTCTAGTTGCCATTCAGAAATAAAGCTATCAAAAAGTAAGCATCAATCGACTGCGTGAAACACGAAAAAAAAATAAAACAGCTGACAGTGTTCCTGCTGCACTTGGATACAATACATTTTCCTGTACAGTTTGTGGACTTTTGTGCAATTCTCGAGTCGGTCTCAAAAGTCATGCCCGTCATATGCATGCAGATAATTAGTTCGTGGTCGTTGGAATCTCATACATCGAACTCGATGGCAAAGTCCATCATATATACATATATTCTATGTAAAATTTTAATCGGTGCTTGTTTTATTTTATATGATTTTTCGAATATTCAAGACGGTAGAGGAAAATAAATATATGCAGTATTTCATAAATAAATGGAGTGTCTATTCAAATATGGGTATCTACTAAAAATGAGGGCCAAGCAGCTTAGTTCCTAGGTACCGACAGCCCAGAAACCAGCACATATGATTTGATTATTGTGGTGAAGGCTTTGTGCATAACAACAACACTTTTTGAAGGGCCAAATACAGAGACCTGCCGAACTACGTGACACAAGCTCCCCAAACGAGCCTCTCCTCTGCAGGTTTTGAATGCAGAGTTGTTCATCTCTTAGACCAGATGCCATCCAAGGCTATAGAATCCAGTCTGTCCTGACATTTACCCATATCTGGAGAGAGAAGAGGATTCATACCTTTTCCAAGGGTAATAGTAAGTAAGTGAATTCGACTGGAATTCGAAGACGGCTCCCCGATTCCTCAATCCACTACCCCACCGTGCCTCCTATATATATATATATATATATATATATATATATATATATATATATATAATTATTTAAAAATAAAAAATAAAAATAAAAATTTATAACATAAATATATTTATAAAATCACTACAAAAATAACCATTTTGTTTCAACACCCCTGGTAACCATTAATTTTACATTCAACATCACCACTTGATAAGACACCAGGGGTGTTGAAACAAAATGGCTATTTTTGTAGTGATTTTATAACATATTTATGTCATAAATTTTTATTTTTTATTTTAAATAATTATATCTGCTCTACTTTGTATTGAGCACTCTTTTAAGAATAGTAATTGTTGCTTATTGGAATTCATTCCGTATATACCAATTATATATTTATATATATATATATATATATATATATATATATATGAGTGTGTGAGTGGCGGACACCCAGTATTCATAAATATATGTTTCTATGTACGTAAAACAGTCAGTTTGCAGCTTCATGATGGAAAAAACATGCTTCACACATAAAATATTTTTCTACATAATATCTTTCTCTACCAGTACATTTAATTCAGTAGGGAATGTTATTACAGAGATCTAAAATTATACATTATTATATAAATAACCTTTTACATAATTACTGATGCACTCTTATGAGTGCTGGTTCCTAATGTGCACACTATATCTATCTATATATCTGTTTATCTATTTATATGTATCTATATGTACGTATATATATATATGTAGTATGTCTGTATGTATGTATGTATATGAAGCAAGACAAGTTGCCCAGAGGTTTATGCATATGGAATTATACAAACGCAGACTACCACACAGGTCGCAGAGGAGCACTGACCCTCACGCTTGATATTTCGAAATCCTTTTCAAAACTCTTTTACCACCAAGAGTGATTAAAGTGGTGAATTTCTTTACCATTTGATTCCTTCCAGAAAGCTGGCACCACGCTTCACTTACCTTTTCCGTCTTTCCATCTTCTTTTTCCATTTCGACCGGAACGCTTTCTGGTTTCAATTCATTTTACACGCACTTAATCTTCTGTGGTTCTTCCTTTAGATATTGGTAATAAATTATTGACTCATAAATGCGACCAAATAAATTTAGAAATAGTTTATCAGCTCGGTTCGTTATTACTTAACGAAGAAAAAAATAAGATTTACGACGTCCTCAAATATCTGGCCGGGTATAACAGATTCAAAAAGATAAGAAATAAAACAGTAGATATCTGTAGTGTCAGATATATAAAAATCTGTCGTCTCGAGACGGGAAGTAGAAACAGTTCAATTTCCGGACCAGTCGGCATCGTAACCTTCCGCATTTATACCCGTGAGAAAGGCTAATGGGTTAAATTACCGGGTAAACTGGGTTCCCTAATCTTGTGCGGCGACCAGTCTAAGAGAAAAGAAAATTCTGAATACCAAATCATATAGAAGGCGTGGTGAAACCATTCCATTATCTTTCCTGAGAAGGTAGAACAAGTCACAGATAATGCAGAAAAGAAATCTATGGAGAGACATAATCATTTATGGACGAAGGGACAAGAAATTCTTTTTAGTAATACTACAAAGCAAATGGCATGGATGAAAAGTTGGCCTAATCCCATCGTCCCTTAAAAAATTATCTAATGAATGTCGTGTAGAATTGACACGATCAAGTTCATTTAAAGCAGGAGTCTTCCGGGGCTCTATTCTCGGACCAACACTGGCGCTGATCTTCATCAACAACATTCCCGATGCAGATGGCACAACTATTTCCTCCTGTATTTGTAGCAAGACCGTCAGATCCGATATAGTTGGATTGGCAAATGCTCTCGGAAAGGATTTTATATCAGTGGTGAACTGAAGTAAGGGAAGGTTTGTAAATTTTAACTCCCCCCCAAAACAAAACCACTTTAAAAATTTAAAGATTTTCTGCCTACCATCAGTCTGACTGATGCAAGAGAGCAACATTTTGCGCCTTCTAGAACTAACGTTTTCCACTGACACAATGATCGTATTGAATCAATTGCTAAATCTACCTCTAGGAAGGTTGGTTCAATGTATCGGACCAGACTCTTCGCGTCAAAATCACTAAAAGAATGCGTATTTATAAATTCGTTCGTGCTATGCCTGGATTTGTACTCTTACTATATATCTCGAGATTCTTGACAAAATTCAAAGAAAGAACCGTGTAATCCTTCACGACCTGGCATCTCGACTTCATTTATTTAACTACCCAACGTCACGTGGCTTTCGTCTGTCATCTCTTTAACTATTTTCACTACAATTTCTTGATTTCATGAATTTAAATATGCTACCAGATTGCCAAGTAGGTTTCACCATATTATTGTTGAACTAGTTAGATGCAAACCTTACTTCCTTTATAATAGTTTATTTTCTCGCACTGTTCGTTTCGATTTTATGTTTCCTAGCACCTAAAATCTTCAAACATTTAAATGCAATGCCAATCGCCATATTCTCTTTTCCTAATGCTGTACGTTTATTGTCTTTGCTCCTCACTAATGTCTTCTCATTCTCTTTAACTCCCTGTAACCTCCTGCATCTTAGCGGCATTATTGCTTTGCTTAAGATGAAGAAAATATAATGAAAATAAGACGTTAATAAAAACAAAAAGTTGTCATATGCAGACGATATTGTTCTGATAAGGAACACCAAATTAAAACCGTCTTTCCAATAACACATAAGAATGATGTTCGTTTTCATGAAAATAGACACCACACAGCCACAGCTTAACATTCAAATAAACGGAACAAAAATGATTACGTGACTGATTTTGTATAGCTTGGTCAAAAGCTATTTTGTTTTGACTGATTCATTTTCTACGGGTTATCAACTCTTTTCAGGTTATTTAAAGCCAGAAAATATCTTTAGATTATTTTTTGGTGCGAGGGGGCAAATAATAAAGATTTAGTGATACAAGGATTACTAATTAACCCGTAGCCGGGGGAGAAAAGGGGATTCATAAATAAAGTTAATTGCGCGTAAGTGAATGAACCCAACGGAATCTGCTACTCGTCTGTCCGGTTAACAATTTATCCATTACATCATCCGCACATATAAGCTTACAGCACCTGGTATTCCCAAGCGGTTACTCATCTAGGTACTGTCCAGGCTTAAGAATGCTTAACTTCGGTGATCTTACGGGAACCAATGTTTCAATGTGATATGGCGGTAAACAACAAGGTATATGGCAAAAGAACTAAAAAATATCAGTAAAGCATCGAATAAGACGTGTGATGGCTGTTCTTGGAAGACATAAATGTATGCTGAAATCAACGCACTAATACATTTAAAATTGGTTTATATACTTAAAAATTGTTTTATATGCTTTAGATTATGTGTCATGAACTCAAAAGCTTTCGGATCAAACTGAACCATTCCCAAAACATATAATGCACTTCATCGAGCCTGTTGAACAAAACGAAAACGACCACTCTCAGAATTGGACAATTTGCTTCCAATGTTCCATTCCATCTGTAAGAAATCCTTGAAATTATTTGGACGCATTAAAAGATCTACAAAAGAGCTCTCTAAATTGTGTCTTGAAGGAATGGTGCCTGGTAAAAGAAGTAAAGGTAAACCAAAACAGAAATGGAAATAATGAGGGCACAACGGACAAAAAGTTGTGAAAACAACACAAAGATGATGACAATAATCCAAAGACAAGGAAAGCTGGTTCTTTTTGTCGTACCAGAAAGATGTTTTCTCGTCCGAGTCCATCCTTCAAATCTATAAATCAACTATTCGCCCTTGCATGGAATACTGCTGCCCTATATGATCTGGTACCCCCGCTGTTCGCCTTAAGGTCCTCGACACAATCCAGAGACGGATATACAATGTGGTTGACCCTGATCTGGCATCTTGCCTACAGTCGCTCTCTCTTTCACGTTAACTGCACCGACAAGTTCCTTCGCCAGTTCCCAGACTGCATGAATTTAATCGTGCTAGTAGGTTAGAATCTCGATCCTACTCTCACTGGCGCAACGGTTAAATGTAGCTGTCTCTTCTACTCCAATAGCTTCATGTCTCGCACCTCTCGTCTGTGGAATTGCCTTTCTATTACTTGTTTCCCTGATTGCTATAATCTCCAACTATTCAAATGTCAATCGGCATCTCCAGGTGCCTTGATATTTTCCCTGTTCTTTTCTTCATTCTTTCCTCTATCTCTCTTTACTTCACTCTTTACTCTCACTCCTACTCTCTGTAACCCATTGCGTGCTAGTGGCTTCCCGCCTTGCTTGGGGTGAAATGATTAAAAAAATGTAAATCGTCTAAATAATTATACCTCTTCATCCCAGAAATTCGGACAACAATCACATGATTCTAGATGTCTTTCTGAAAAAAAAAATCATTAAATCTGTTCATTCTATTTCGAAAGTTTAGCAAAAGGAATTCTCAGCATTTGGAACTGTTTTGTAGTTTCCTTTTGTTTCATGAGATAAATTAAAATCGTGTGACGGTTGCGCAATGTGTTTATTCAATAAACAAGATTTTTTTTGTCATGTGCGTAACCGAGTTGTGTGGAAAATGATATGAATTCCGGGCCGTGCTGCGATTCGTCATCATTTATTATTGTTTATAGAACAACATGCAGATAGGAGAGAAAATAAAAAGCGCGCACTGGGAAAAGAAAAGCCAGGAAAAATGTGGTACGGGTTATTATTATTTGTTTAGCGTTGTGGGTTTGGATATCAAATGTAATCTGGCGACTCGGTGGATGATTGTATCAATGCAAGTGAGATATTAGATGGACTTCTTACTATTCAGAATGACATTAAACAGTCGGCTTCTCCTCAGGGACACGTCTTTCAGTGCCAAACTGAAAACAAAAAAAAGTATGGGAAGGGCGGCTTCGTATTCATTTTCAGAGACGATCATCCATTAGAATACAGATCTCGGCTTATCTAGTAAAGACGTTTGCTCTTTCTAGATAATGGTGCTGCTTTCTTGCGACATTGTTTTAATTATTTCGTCTCAAGCAAGGCAATAAAGCCACTAAAATGCAAGGGGTTACTGAGTGTGATATGAGAAAAAGAAAACATTTTTTTAAGAAGAGAGAACAATACAATAACAGGAATTAAGAAGGGAACGATGAAGGATTGAATTAATATTATTGAAGATCAAATTTGACTGAAAAGCATGAAAGGCTAGGAGGTCCACAAGCGAGAAGTACGACAGAAGAATCTGTTAGCATAGAACTTATGGTTACAACTAGCAATTTCAACATTGAAATTATGAGACCTAACTGCTAATCTAGCAGTACGTTTAAAATTGTGAAGTCGGTGTACCAACGAGACGAGGAAAGTTCATCAGAACAATTCCAATGCAAGTATTTACAGAAAAGGCGCGAGGAGAAAGTGACTGAAGCCAAGATGTCAGGTTAGGACCTATAACATTGCAGATTCTTCTAAGAATTTTGTCAAGAATGTCTAGATACGTTTCGGAAGCACCTGACCAAATGTATCAGTAACATTCGATGCACAGTCAAATGAGAGAATTTATAAATATAGATTCTGAACCAACTTTCCTAGCAGTAGAACTATCAATTGATTATATATAATCGTTTTAATTCATATTAGCCAGACAAGGCGCAATGTCATTCTGCTTGAAGTTAACATCAGCGATGTGGATGGAAAGAAAAAAATTCTTATATGATTAAAAGACGACAGTTTCGCTTTGGAGGCGTTCAATTTAACAAGCCATTTCTTGCCTCAGTTAACAACAGATTGAAAGTCAATTTTAAGATCCACTCCCACTTTAATTTGGCAGACAAACCTATCAGACAAGATTAAATATTTGTGCCATCAGCATAGAGAGAGAGTCAAAAGCGGGTAACATTAGTGAAGTCATTGATGAACAAAGTAGGTTCAGGTAGAGCCAAGATGTGACATCTGAGGGACACCCAGATTAATATAAAAGGTCTATGAGAGTGTCCTTTCAAGACAACTTTCAATTCGCGATTTGATAAGAAATCAAATAAAAAATTCAGACAGAAATACCTTACAACTTGTGAAGACGCATGCGAAACCCTGTCAAGCGCTTTCGAGATATCTAAGGCCATAACTCTTATTTAAAGCTTGACAGATTCTTTCAGTAATGACCGTTAGCATATCAGCAGTTTATATAGAGAAGCCAAAGACTTAATATTTGCCTGAAAGAATACTATGCAAGGTGAGATATCAATTTCTTATCTTGTCACGCATTTGCCTATATATATATATATATATATATATATATATATATATATATATATATATATATATATATATATATATATATATATATATTGAATACGATAGACAAGATGCCTTAATTTAGTTATTTTTTATATAATTTCTCATGTGATCTAATAGTTTGTTTCTTTCCGATGATAAATTATATGAAAATTGTCCAATTGTTCTTTTTTATCCGAGCGCCTTCGGCTTAGCCATTTTCAAGGTATATTAAACGTTAACAAGAAATAGTTTGTTGTATGTATGTATTTATATAATGTTTTTCATTTTCAAATAATTATTTATTTATTTAAAAATTATTGTGTCCATGTACATAGTTGATATTATTGAGTTTTTTTTGTTTTTTTTTTATTAGCAAGGTTTCCATCATTTTTATCCTTTAATTTTTTGTTCAGGGTGTGACAAGACTTTTGGACCACCCTGTAGATTTATGTGATTGAAATTAATTGTCAGAAATCGTCAAAATGCCAAGAACTAAAAAGATTAATATTGAAAAAGAGCCAAAGTGGGAAGTCTTTCTATTGAAGGCTATTCCAAACGTTAGATTGCAAGAAAATTACAGATAAAAAATGTTTTAAAATAATTGTCGGACTTTGTCAATTTCATAATGTGTGACGTCATTATTTTACATTTGGATACGCCATGAGCAGATATGAATGGAAGGTTGTAGTTTAAAGACAGCAAAATCTATCTCGCTAGCCTAACGCTCCTCTGTGGCCAAATCGGTTAAAGGCACGTCAGGCTTTATTACGGTCCCGTATAGGATACAGGTTCGATTCCTGTCGGAGGACGAATATTTTCTATGAAAATTTCTCGGACATTCAACACGGTAAATCTTGTTTAATACTGTTTATTATAAACAGAGCATTTACTTAAATATTTGTATCTATAAAAATGTCTTCAAATATATATAAACGTTGTTTTGTCCACATGATTTGTGATAGTGTCGACATTTTTTTCTGTTCTCTGTGAAAGCGCGGCAAATTTTTATCTTTGTATCTTATGTGAGATTATGAATCACAAAGGTAAAAGTATTTTCAACATTTACCTAACGTTTCGAGCCTTCACTTCCATATCTTGTTCCCGCAATTTGCTTAGAATTTAATCTGAATCTTTGTACCTTTAAGAGGCACATATTGCTGCTACACCTGAAATATCATTTGACAAATCTTGCAATTAAAAGATTAGTACTAAGATTCGTGCTTGGCATTTGTAATTGCGATCCAAATCCATGGGCTACTCGCTCGTGTTGGAGGAACCCTTACTTAATTGATCATGTTTTCAGGTTTATAGCCGTAATCCCCACAATTTGGGGTTGGTGAGGCTATTTAACCAATAGTTGATGTAGATAGTCTTTGACTGAATGTTCATCGGTAATTTAACAGCTCTTGTTGTTTTTTGTGCTGCTGGGGTTCCACTTCTTCTCCTCACCAGACCCTGGTTTGAGTGGGGGTGCAGTTTAGTTGCTAACCACATCAACAAACTCAGGTTTTGATTTCAGACTTTTCCTTCTTCTAGGTTGGTTACCAACCAAGGATAATCTCTCCTTCTATTTACACATACTATGGGAAAAGAGATGAATTCATATTTTTACCAAGTGTATTTGTATGAAGGAAGAGTAATCGATAGCGGCTCGGATTGAGAAATCGGAAAGCCGAGTTCGAATTCCAGTCGAATCCATTACATTCACTTACGTGCTGATAACTTTGAGAAAGATATCAGTCCACGTCTTCTCCCCCAAGCTATGAGTATATAGCAAGATAGACTTCTATAGCCTTGGATGGAAACTGGTCTACCGCAGAAAGAAATGGCAACCTACTGCGGGATGTCATGTATCGAAGCATACATGTTGCCCAAGCGTGTATCGAACATGGCACATAACTGACTGATTTTTATGTAAGTGAATGTGACGAATTCGGCTGGAATTTGAACCCGGTT